ATAAGGAGTGAAGAGTGGAGGAATTCTCCTTGAGGAAAGTGGGTGGGAAATCAAACCAAAATCTGATTGATGGAAAGGGCACAAAAGATGAGAAGTCCATGAGAATAATACAGAATAGTCATAACTTCTGACTGGCAAGGTGGAACGCGGACATGGCTCCCTGCCAAGCTGTCAGTTTCCTGATGAGAATCCTAGGTCTGGAGGAGGCTGGCAGCTTGTTCCTCTGCAGCTCCTCCTGGGAAGGAGAGGCAGAGTGCCCACCAGAGTCCCTTCGTCTCTCCGTAGATGTTCCAGGCCAGTGAGTCCCTTCCGGCACACCACACGCGGGCTCAGCGTGAGTTCCTCCTCCCCAGTAAGCCTTGGGAATTGCCTGGCTTCACCCGGCAAGCCTACCACCAGCTGGCCCTGAAGCTGCCACCCCGCACAGACATGAAGTCCAGGGTGCACCAACAACTAATCCACCCTTGGAAGGGAGCAACGGAGCACACCTGGGGATTTCACACATGGCTTGATGTGGGGCGCTTGCCAGCCACCTTTCCCACCAGGCCCGACAGGCCCTATGACAGCAATGTCTGGCGCTGGCTGACGAACTCCAGGGCCCACTGCCGACCCCCAGCAGAACCTCTCATCCCCCCTCCCTCCTGGATGGGTCAAAACAGCCTTCTGACCTTCATCAGCTATACTCCTATCTTCTTGGATGCGAATAGGAAGAACCAGGCGATTTTCAGTATAGTGAAGGAACTAAGAGAAGTGGAGAAACTCAAGCTGAGGAGTGAAGCAAGGGCACCTCCTCTAGACACCAGTGGCAACATCCTGCCCCCAAAGAACTTCAAGAAGTAAGAGGCGCTCCTTCCTCAGTGAGCTGACCCACCAAGCAGTGTTCAGGTGACCCCTCCCTCTCTCTGCTTCCTTTTTCTGATATCCAATTTGGTACTCTAACCTTTCTACCCCTAGTCACCTGAAAACTAAACTCCCTTCTGAATGTAGCTGGAGGCAAGGGAAGGACAGCTAGGGGAGGGCCTCCATTATTTCCATAAAACTAGAGGGATACAAGTTTATATACTTAACACCTGCTAGGCCCTGGGAATACTGAGAAATGTCATTCAGTCACTGCCCTCCAGGAGCTTAAGGAAGGCAGATATCTACATACTTGGAAGTAGAACTATCAATGCAAGACCAGGTGCTAAGAGCCCAAAGAGTGACACAGAGGATGAGTGTTGTAAGGATGTCAGTTATTAATGGAAAGAGCTGAGAGCTGGAGTCAGAGGCTTGGGTTAAAATCCAGACTGCATCACTTTGGCAAATTGCTTAGTTTTTCCAGACTCAATTCCATTGTTGATAAAATGGGGATGGTAAACACCAATGGGTGAAGATGAAGTGGGTTAATGAGTAAGTGAAAGCAGGAAACAAACAAACAAACAAAAAAACAGATGTTATTACAGAAATTCAGAAGGGAGAGAGAAGGATTGCTGTGGGCTGGAGCGTCCCCCCGAGCAAGAAAATGGATGAAGACTGGAAAGGTAGGGATTCTTCAGAAAGGCAAAAAGAAGGAGCTAGAAGACTGACATGTGAGCAGAGATAGGAATGTGAAAAAAGCTATTCGAGAACCCTGCAGCTCTCCCCTCGCTGCTCGTCGTGGGAACTCACAGATATTGCCATACTGGGTCCAGTCCAGGCACTGAGCATAAGTGGCCAGAAAGGGGGAGAGAAGTAAGGACGGAATGTCAATCCCAAGGGCATTAACAGAAGTATCGAGGGTTCTTGGAGGGCGAGGCTGTGGAGATATGTAATCTTAAAAAAAAAAATGCCAACAGTTGGCATTTTTGAGATTTTGAGAGAAAATTATTCAGGACCTTGGCTTCTCTCTACCATCGCTACAATGAAGATCATTGATGGCTAATATGTGCCAACACTAGGTGTGCAAAAATGAAGGAGATTTAGATCGTTCCTCAAAAAAAAACTCAGTCAGATGATAGTGCCAGATGTTGTTCTAATCACTCTAGTTATATTATTTAATCTTCCTACTATTTCTGAATGGATACTATTATTATCAACCCTATTTTACAGATGAGGCATCTGAAACACAGAGAGGTCAACTATCTGCTCATATTCACACAGCCAGTGAGTGACAGCGCCAGGCTTTGAACGGAGGGAGCTCAGCTCCAGAGCTGCATTCTTACTCTCCTCTTGTTTGGTTGGGGAATCAGACAAGTTCACAGCCACTTCCAATATAATGTTCTGTAAAGGCAGCACAAGAAAAATGCAATTAGCCATAAAAAGAGCTCAGCACAGTGCCTAGCATACAGTAAATGGTGTGTGACGGCAGAAGCAGCGTGGTCTCTGGAGTCAAGCAGGTCTAGGTTGGACTCTACGTAGCTCCACTGCAAACTTGCTATATACAGCCTTAACTTTTTTAAACTCTTTGAGCCTCACTTCCCTCAAGTAAGTATTGGAGATGTACCTGGTTCCATCCGGTCCTCTATCGGTTGTTAGAAGTTTCAAAGGCATGGGTCTCAAAGTTTTGTTGTTCACAGAGGAGGAGGTATTTGAGTGGACCTTGGAGGATGTGTACAAGTTCTCCAGGTGGGAACAAGAAAGAGTGATGAAAGCAAAGGCCCACGCAGCCCTGTCATTCCTTGTGAGCAGCTCTGTAAGGGGTTAAATTAAATTGTTAAACTTGTTTAATTTAATTTAATTTAATTTGTTTAAGTTCTTAGACAAGGTCTAAGCCTCAAGATGCATGTGATCTTGCTGGAAAACAGAACATTTACCTATAAACCCAGCTGTTCCCTGCCCTAGTAGTACATTAGAATCACTTGGGCCTCTGTAGAAAAATGTTGAAGTTTGAGCTCCACTTGGGAGATTCTAGCTTACTTGGACTGGGGAGCAGCCTGCGAGCTATTATTTTTGAAAAGCTAAGGGTGATTCTGATGTGCAGCCAGGCCAGAGAACCACTGGTATGAAACAAAGACAGCAAACAGATGGATATCTGCTGAACTAGGTGCAAAGCATGTTGAACCACAGGAAATTTGCTGCTATTCAACTATGGTTTTTAAAAAGTCAGTTCCCCACTGTGGAACCTAATGCTACAGGCCTGTAGAAGAGGGATCCAACAGACCAGGTGTCAGAAGGCAGCAGGTCAGAGCAGGAAGGGCTCTTGGATAGCATCCTGTTCACAAGGGATGAGAAGAGCACTTGTGCTGAGTTCGCTCTTCCCGCTGGCATTGTGTTAGTGAAGGAGGTCGGACTTGAAGGATAGTTGGAATCTGGATAATGATATTATAAACACAATTATTTCAGCCTAATGCCATACACACATGCAGGGTGCAGGCCATTTGGAATAGATCAATAT